GTCACAACGCCGTGACAAAGCACTCACAACGTGATATAAGCACTCACAACGCGTTGACAAGCACTCACAACGCCGAACAAAACACTCACAACGCGTGACAGCACTCCAACGCGCTGACAAACACTCACAACACGAGACAAACACTCACAACGCGTGACAAGCATTCGCAACACGAGACAAGCACTCACAACGCGAGACAAGCACTCACAACGCGAGACAAGCACCCACAAGGCGTGACAAGTACTCACAACGCGAGACAAGCACTCACAACACGAGACAAGCACTCACAACGCGAGACAAGCACTCACAACGCGAGACAAGCACCCACAAGGCGTGACAAGTACTCACAACGCGAGACAAGCACTCACAACACGAGACAAGCACTCACAACGCGAGACAAGCACTCACAACGCGAGACAAGCACCCACAAGGCGTGACAAGTACTCACAACGCGAGACAAGCACTCACAACGCGAGACAAACACTCACAACGCGTGACAAGCACTCACAACGCGAGACAAGCACCCACAAGGCGTGACAAGTACTCACAACGCGAGACAAGCACTCACAACGCGAGGCAAGCACTCACAATGCGAAACAAGCACTCACAACGCGTGACAAGCACTCACAACGCGTGCCCCGATACTGATCTACTATACAGTACATACACAATACTGACACTTACATAAACCGTATCTACAAGGTAACATACCAATACTGATACATACAATACTGATACTTATATAAACTACCCAACGTATTAGCCAGCGAGCCGTGCAGTCGTGAGTTGCACGGTCAGTTTTGAAACTGCACGAGCAAAAAAAAATTTTGCCGAGGCCCCCCCGTACCCCCCCCCCCCCTCCACCAACACCACCACCACCACACACATACTCTCCCCCCCCCGTTAACACCTACGGCGGTCTTGGCTGAGACACAAAAATTTCACTCCCAAATGTTTTTTCTGCACTCCCACAACAATACTAATTCCTGGCTAATGCCCTGAAACTACCATACCATATCTACAAGGTAACATACCAATACATATACATACAATACTGATGCTTATATAAACTACTGTAAGCATGCAGTTTACACAAATATGGCTGCAGGCGACAGTAACAACACTTAGGTTTCCAATAGTAACAAACAGGAATTATAGCGCGATGAGCAACACAAGATAGGAAGCTAGCTGAATTAAGAGCACGGCTCATTTCACTAGGTGTCAGCAATTGGATGTTTGGCCTCGTGTGTTCCCAACTCGGTTGGCTGAATCACAGGCATTTGGGAGTCAGTAAAAACTTAAAATAATATGAATGCACATTCACAAATACTACCCCTCAATTACACTTCCACTGTTGTGTCACTGTATATAAACTTGCTGTCACAAAAACTAATGCAGAACTAGATGCTTCCGCACTCGCCGCTTCGACTGTGCTGTGTCACCATTATAATGATATATATAGAAAAAGGTAGGAAACTCCGCCACACGATTTTCGCCGATCGCTCCTCGCTTCTTTCAGATTTCTCAAACTTTTCACGCCTCCCCGACCTCCATTTTTGGCTCGTTCTGCCCTCTATAGTCCACTGAACACAACTATGTAACTACAGTGGCTGAGAAGTGCAACAGTTCTTTGTAATGTTACTTCAAACTCGGAAGTTTCGCGGTTCTTTCACATTCTGCAGAAATGTATACTGTTTAATACGGTTTATGATTCCCACTTTTCCCGCGGGCGACCGCCGCAGAGCATGATTGGCTGCCTCCAGTCTCCAATCAGCTCTGCGGCGCCCGACGCGGGGCCATTCAGACTCATGAACGGTATACATTCCTGCAGAATCGGCACGAACCGCGAAACTTCCGAGTTTGAAGTCACATTACAAAGAAAGGTTGCACTTCTCGGCCACGGTAGTTACATAGTTGTGTTTAGTGGACTATAGAGGGCAGAACGAGCCAAAAATGGAGGTCGTAGAGGCGTGACAAGTTTGAAAAATCTAAAAGAAGTGAGGAGCGATCGGCGAAAATCGTGCGGCAAAGTTTCCTACCTTATTCTATATATACCATTATAATGGCGACACAGCACACTCGCAGCGGCGAGTCCGGGAGCGGCTAGTTCTGCATTAGTTTTTGTGAAAACAAGTTGATATACAGACTATTATATTCAGTTTTTACTGATTCTGTTCCAAGTGCCTGTGGGCTGAATAACTAAGTTGTGCAGCAATAGCTCGGCTACTGGCCTAGTGTCTTCCATCACTTGTAACGTAGTAAGGAATCGGTAGTTCAGCCAAAGAGCGAAGAGCGAGGACGATGCTTGCTCATTTGGTTACCGAATTTGGTGGTACTGTGGCAAAACTGTGTGACGTGAAAAAAGCAGAGACGACCTGTTTTGGGAGCACATATATAGGGACTAGTATTCCTTTGGATTACAGAGAGGGAGAGAAACAGTAGAGTAGTTCAGGGAGTAGAGAGTAGACAGTATAAATAACTGTTGGGATGAGATATCCCTAAGTGAGTAGATTAGTTCTTGTAACTAAGGCCAGGGGGCGCGCGGGAGGCAGACGATGTGTGATGGCGGCGTGGAGCCAGTGTTGGAATAAAGTTGCGTGTGTTTGAATACAGTGTGTGATCGATTCGATTCGGATGTGCGTCTCAACAAACTGTGCATCCGAGCAAGGTGACATTGACAGCAAAGCGCGAGTCACCGATGCTAAGTGCAAACTGCAATCGAAGCAGTATGCGGACAAGAAGCGACATGCTGTTGCAAGTGACCTTGACATTGGTGATCGGGTGTTGTTGCGACAGGACAAACAGAACAAGTTGACTACTAGGTATGAGCATGACCCCTATGAAATCGTTGAGAAAAAGGGGAGTAGTCTAACTCTTGAGGACAAGCATGGTAAACGTGTGAGAAGGAGTACAGGACATGTCAAGCGATTTGTCCAAGGACTTGAGCATCGTGGGGATGATGGTGAATTGTCTGAGTCCGAGACATTGAGGAGGTTCCAGCTGAACTGGGATTGGAGTCAATAGACCTAGGAGGAATGTGGGTCCTCCAGCGGTTTTGAGAGACTATGTTCTGTAAAGAGTGACTATGGGTTGGGTACTCTTCGACTGAGTATCAGGATAGTGTGGTGAACGGTGATATTGATGAATGGTCATGACAAGTTTATGGTTTATATGTTTGTGTTAGTGTTCCAGGATATCATTAGAATGTTAGATTGGGTTATTGTGTTATAATTGTACGCGTTGTAATTGTCTAAAAAAAGAAGGAAGGAAAGAGATCAAGGGAGTGTTCGCAGCAGACATCTGTCTCGCAGACGGCAAGGTGTCAAAGCACGCTGAGTTTGTTGTGCTCAACGGAAAAGGGTGTGCATTACTGGGACGTGACACCGCGATTAAACTCGGGGTTCTGTGTTTGAAGAACCAGGTCAACGCTGTGGACAGTGAGGCTATTGGTAAGCCTGATGATTTGTACGTACAGAAACTGTTGTCTAAACACAGTGCATGTTTCAGTGGTCTAGGAAAGTTAAGGATTACCAAGTGAAACTTCACATTGATCCTAGTGTGACACCGATTGCGCAGAGACAGAGGAAAATCCCGTACAGTCAGTGGAAGGCTGTCGAGAAGAGGTTGAAAGAGCTTGAGGACTTAGATGTGATAGAACGCGTTGAAGGCCCAACGTCATGGGTGTCAGCGCCAGTGATTGTGCCAAAACGGAACGGTGAAATCCGGTTATGCATCGACATGCGGATGGCTAACAAGGCCATTATTCGCGAGCGTCATCCGATCCCGACGATAGATGATGTGCTGCATGATCTGAACGGTGCTAAAGTGTTCCCCAAGATTGATCTTAGGTGGGGCTACCACCAGATAGAGCTCCACCAGAGTCTCGAGACATTACAACGTTCAGTGTCCTCGACAAGCTGTATCGGTATAAACGTTTGATGTTCGGAATAACATCTGCTCCAGAGGTGTATCAACACATCATCCATGAGGTTCTCGCGACGTGCGGGAAAGTGAAGAACATTTCGGACGATCTGATAGTGTACGGTGATGATGATGCCGATCATGACAAGTACTTGGACAAAGTACTGACGAAACTAGTAGAGAATGGGTTGACAGCAAATCTACCCAAGTGTCTGTTCAGGATGAGAAAGCTAGTGTTCTACGGTCATGTGTTGTCGGATTATGGAATTGCGCCGGAACAAGCCAAGATTTCCGCAGTGGTCAGTGCGAGAGAGCCGGCGACTCCAGCTGAAGTCCGTAGTTTCCTCGGACTGGTGAATTATTCGGCTAAGTTTATTCCGAATTTGGCGACCGTCGCAGAACCACTCCAGCGCCTGACTAGATCCAAGGCAGAATGGTCGTGGGGAAAGGATCAAGATGACGCATTTCAGAAATTGAAAGACGGCATTACGGATGCGAAAGCGCTAGCACATTTCGATCCGGGTGCTAAAACCGAGGTTATCGTGGATGCGAGTCCAGTGGGACTTGGGTCGCTGCTCAGTCAGAAGCAATCAGATGGAACATTTCAACCGGTGAGGTATGCAAGCCGGTCGTTGACAGACGTTGAACGCAGATATTCGCAGACAGAGCGAGAAGCCCTCGCTGTGGTGTGGGCGTGTGAGAAATTTCACGTCTATTTGTATGGACTTGACTTTGACTTGGTCACGGACCATAAGCCATTGGAGATCATTTACTCTGCGAAGTCTAAACCACCTGCTCGCATTGAACGGTGGGCGTTAAGACTGCAACCGTATCGATTTCAGGTGAAGTACATACCGGGACCACAGAATGTGGCAGATGCATTGTCTCGGTTGTGTACTGACATTGCGAAGACTAAACGCAGTATCGCGGAGGAATACATATGTTTTGTCGCAAAGAGTTCTATTCCGATAGCGATGAATCCGCGAGAAGTCGAACAGGCGTCACGCGTGGACCCTGAGCTGAAGTTAGTTCGGCATTGCATCAGGTCCGGCGATTGGACCGAATGCATCGATCCCGCATATCGACATGTGAAGGACGAACTCTCTGTAGTTGGTAAGCTGATCATGCGTGAACGGCGAATAGTTATGCCCAAAGAACTGCGTAAACGCACACTGCAGTTAGCTCATGAGGGGCATCAAGGTTTGCGGAAAACTAAGCAGAGATTGAGAGAGAAAATCTGGTGGCCTAGGATTGACAAGGACTGCGAAGATGTTGTGAAAGCATGTCATGGCTGCCAGGTAGTTGGTCAGGAGCCAGATCCGGAACCAGTGGAAATGACAGAACTGCCAGAGGGCCCATGGCTAGACTTAGCTGTGGACTTATGTGGACCATTCCCGACTGGTGAATATCTGATGGTCGGGGTGGACTATTACTCGAGGTGGGTAGAAGTCGCTATCCTAAAGACCACCACGGCAGACAAAATTGTGGAACACTTGGAACAGTGGTTCTCGGTGTATGGTGTCCCCAAGACAATCAAGAGTGACAATGGGCCACAGTTTGTGTCCAGTGTGTTCAAAGACTTTCTGTCGCAGAATGGTATTGGACACAGGAGGACAACGCCATATTGGCCACGTGCCAATGGACAGGTGGAGGTGCAGAACAGGACTCTGTTGAAGTCTATTCGGGTAGCGTGCGCAGAAGGCAAGAACTGGAGGAGAGAATTGCCGAAGTTCCTTCTTGCGTATCGCAGCACTCCACATAGTGTTACAGGTGCAACTCCTGCTGAGTTGATGTTTGGCCGGAACATCCGGACCAAATTGTCTCAATCGGTAGAGGACTGTGCATCCGAGCAAGGTGACATTGACAGCAAAGCGCGAGTCACCGATGCTAAGTGCAAACTGCAATCGAAGCAGTATGCGGACAAGAAGCGACATGCTGTTGCAAGTGACCTTGACATTGGTGATCGGGTGTTGTTGCGACAGGACAAACAGAACAAGTTGACTACTAGGTATGAGCATGACCCCTATGAAATTGTTGAGAAAAAGGGGAGTAGTCTAACTCTTGAGGACAAGCATGGTAAACGTGTGAGAAGGAGTACAGGACATGTCAAGCGGTTTGTCCAAGGACTTGAGCATTGTGAGGATGATGGTGAAGTGTCTGAGGACATTGAGGAGGTTCCAGCTGAACTTGGGATTGGAGTCAATAGACCTAGGAGGAATGTGGGTCCTCCAGCGGTTTTGAGAGACTATGTTCTGTAAAGAGTGACTATGGGTTGGGTACTCTTCGACTGAGTATCAGGATAGTGTGGTGAACGGTGATATTGATGAATGGTCATGACAAGTTTATGGTTTATATGTTTGTGGTTAGTGTTCCAGGATATCATTAGAATGTTAGATTGGGTTATTGTGTTATAATTGTACCGTTGTAATTGTCTAAAAAAAGAAGGAGGGATGTTGGGATGAGATATCCCTAAGTGAGTAGATTAGTTCTTGTAACTAAGGCCAGGGGGCGCGCGGGAGGCAGACGATGTGTGATGGCGGCGTGGAGCCAGTGTTGGAATAAAGTTGCGTGTGTTTGAATACAGTGTGTAATCGATTCGATTCGGATGTGCGTCTCAACAATAACCAGTCAAATTTAGTTGTTGGGCTATAAAATTATCTTGTGTGTTAAAAGTGTTACCATTTTAGAATTCGTTTGGAGAGAGAACCCTGCACTTGTAAGCTTGTTCTATAAGTAAATATTATCGTGCATTTTTTCTGGCTTACTGTCTTATTCTGATTGTTCACAGTTTAACTATACACCTACTGAGTCCACCTGTATATTTGTGGTTTCCTCGAGTACACTAAGTGGCATCCAAAAGGTAACATACCAATATGTATACGGTAATACAGTAAAACTCGCATAAGTCATCATCGTCTAACTCGTCAATTCGCATAAGTTGTCATGGAAGTCAAAGTCTTTCATAGTAAATCCATTGGAATAGCCCCCCCCCCAAGGTAGTCATTATGTACAAGTCGTCGCCCTCAGACAGGTCCCATGTAATACAAACAACAGTAATTTCCCATCTGTAAGTGGTCATCAGAAATGCCGATGGCACAGTGTATGATCTAGGGGATGTACGAGCTGGCTGCCGCAGATATGCGCCAACGTGTAAACAAAAGCGGGTGTTACAGATAGCCAGCGTGTGCTGCGCTTGCCGCTAGTGTGACATACGTGCGTTATGGGCAGCAAGCAGCGGTGTCGATTGATGTACGGTATGTATGTGGCGCGAACTGACGTCATGTGTGGAGTATGTTTATGACTGCGTATAGGGTGACGGGCACGTATGTACCTTTCAACCTCCCACCTTCACCCCGCCGAGCGTCTTCGCGAACCCCCGCTCTAAGGTACGACATTACTCAGTATTCGATTACGTATTCTGTGTGTGTAGACATCTGTGTAGTATCGTAGAGTTGTTTGTGTATGCTGTGAAAGTGCAAGCCACCCGTAAACGAGTATTCAGTGGTGTAATAGACGCACGAAGAGTAGTTTTCATAATACTGTGTTCGTGTTATCTATCGACGCAACCTGACGCTACCCTTAAAAAGGTGACACTACCTCACACCTGCTAGACCGAGAACCTGGGAAAGGGAAGTGCGGAGCTTCCTTAGATTGGAGCCGTGACCAGCGGTTTAGTGGGTAGTAATTCTCCAGTGTTTTCATCACTTTCATCACACCTACCGTTATTGCTTGAGTAACACTAACAGCAATTGTCTAGAATAACGATAAAATGTCTTAAAACCTTCTTATTCACCAAAACATGCACTTTTCGAACTAGTTTAGCAAACAATCGTTTGCTGTAATCTTGGGACTAGAGCCGGTAGGTCTTGGACCAGCTAATAGCGCCACCTATCTGCCATAGACATACAATCTCTCTTAAATGCAGTTGTTTTCAATTTTATCATCGACAATTTACAAAGTTTACCCATTCTGCTATTCTCGCGACACGATAACATGCGTTGCTGTTACGATGTGTTCATATCCAATTTTCCATGTTATAACTGCATAAAATCTTAGTGTTTTACAAGTTGGTGTGATCAGTGATATATCCGCCGTGGGGTGAGACTATATTTCGCTATATATATATAAGAATCTCGTAATGCAGGCACTAAAGACCACTGTAGTGATAACGGCCGTTTCTTGATACTGCAAAGTCAGATGTTAGGGTGAGAGAAGCCATGCTTCAGCGTCACTGCGCATCGCCGCCGCAGTCATGCACGCCTGTTTCGCACCTGATTGAGGAAGGAGCCTGTAAGCCCGGCCAGTGCCTGCCGGTCAACGTTGTACCTCATGAAGTTTGGCACGGCAAACTGCTGGCGAGGGATGGCATCGTTCTGCGAGACGACATCCCAGTCTTCCAAACCTGCATGTCGAGAACTGTCACTTCGCAAGTACATCAATGACAATGGCACAGCGATGACAACTCCAGGGTTTGAAATCACGCCTGAAATTGTGCTAAACGTGGCCTTATTTTTTATAACAGCAACCTTAAAAACCCATCATATGCAGCCCTTGGGTTTTAAGTTGAGCGATCGCACTCGCGCGCCATCGCGCGCCTCGATTTATCAGGAGAAGTGCGAAAAAACGCGCATCTAAGCATTATCAAAATGCACACCTTTTTTTTCGTGTTTTATTTTTTGTTTTATTTTTCATTAATTCAACTTATAAACTCGAAGATAAATGCAAACGGTTGTAAACATCACGGACATTGCAGGAATATCAGGAAGTCGGCTTCACATATTTTATAACGACAGTCGCAAAGAGCTCTAGAACATTGGTTGTATTTTTAGATAAAGTTTTAATAGTCTACTTTGAAAAATTGAGTGTTGTTCCTTTTTGACTAAACATGCTAAATGTGTGATTCAAGTTATCCACATGTTCAAGAACTGATATTTTGTTAGATTAAAAAAAAAATGACCTAAAAAATGTCGAGCTAATTTTTATCCAAAAATGCTGGAAATGGCATTTCATGAAGTCTAGATTTAATTTTTTTTCCAGGGGGGCATGCCCCCGAACCCCTCTAGTTTGCCTCGTGCCCTGCGGGCACTCAGATCCAAATCACACACCTCGGCGAGCCAAGGTGTGTGATTTTTCACTCACCTGCCTTTTCCAAAACACAAGGACTGCATATCACGTGCACAATTTAGTGACAGACCTTTTTCACTGCAAATGCATGATTTTCTGCTTCTCAAATGGATATTGGCATCATGTAAGGTATGCTGTTAGCAGAAGTTTGTTTACATACTGCTCGCTTGTATTTTCAATTTTCATCTGCTCTGATTAATTTAGCACATACAGTTTAAAGGCACATGCATTTTTAGCACCTTACCTAAAGATTTCATCATGACTCCTGTAGACTAAGAGACACTGTACTAGGACAATCTAAAAGTTACAGTACCACTAGCAGCAACTCCCGAGCACAAGCACGGAGACCTACTGCGTAACAGCCTGCCGACTTCAGACGTGTCGAGCATTCTCACACGAAGACTGATAACCCAGTGAGGGTGTTCGTATAGAGCGTACCTTCTTCAAAAGGCTTGAGATCAACCTTTAATCGCAGACATGGGTCAGAGGAGCTGAGAAATGCTGCGTCGAGATCCCAGTCTGACAGTAGGCTGAGATAGAGCTCATGGCCCGCATTATCGAACGCCATGTAGCTTATCGTAAAGTCCCTGTATGTCGAAAAACAGACAATAAACGAGGAACCAGAATGTGTTTTTTTATCATACAATCACCGCCGCTAATGCAACCAACAGAAATTGCAAATGCTTCCAAATTACTAAAATGCACTCAATTACACTGCACTAGATTTCTCATGAAATACGATATATATATAATACCTACCCACTGATCTGAAAAGCTCGGGCCAACAGACTCTGTAGTACTTCAAACGTTGTAATTTGTGGATCAACTGAAAATTTCTTGTACTCTGGCTGCATCTTTCCCTCACATTTCTGTTAAAACATACAACATATACAATATGACATTCTGGGTTTCTTACCATTGGCATTGTATGTGAGAAATATCATCAAGCAACTTTGCATTTGTTTACCTTTACTGGCCAGGGGGAGCAAGATGATGGACAGGCGAGTACACAGAATTCATGCTGTCGCGTGAGAACAATGAATAGATAGGAATAACCATTTGTCTCTGACGCATTGGACGTGGGACAATGCTGACAAATTCACAAAGAGAGTGAGGCCATTTGTATTGACCTGTGCGCCATCTAACAATCTAGACACCCTAAAGTCTTTGGGTTACTAACGAAGACTGACAAAAAAATCCTTCTGAATCAGTTCCTGATTTCACGTTATAAGAGTCAGCACATAACATAGTCCTTCTGCCACGCCGGAGGTTGTCGAGCTCTACGTGTTCTGTCGGGAGGCGGAGTTCCAGGGGCACCCACTTCCCTGCGCGGGGTCGCGACTCTGGCCACATTCGGCCTGCTAGGGGGTGCAGCAGGAGTAGTAGGCGGGGCAGCAGTTGTGACACGGGGCGTCCCGCTGGTACTGACGGTGGTTCAGCAGATGGGAGTGGTGCTGGGGTAACCACCGGTGGGGCGGTGATCGGCAATGGCGGAAGCGTGGCAGCTGGCTCCACTGTTCTGGGCATTGAAGACCGTAATGTTTGGGGCATGTGTCCATGTGCCTTGATTGGCGTGACTGTGGGTGAATAGCGAAGGTCCTCCTCCAGTGTCCGAGGCTTGGTTCTCTGTGGCATCACAGGTTCGTATCGCCGCAGAAATTTTCTTGGCCTTCATCACTTGTATTTATTTTGTTTCATGTTATACCTTTCTGCTAAATGTTATTTGTGTAAGTGTAAATAAAGTGTTTGAATTGAGTGAATTGAATTGACTAGTGTCATCAGATCCACAGGCACTTGGAACGTCTCAATAAAAAATGAAAGTGTCAATGACACTGTAGCTCACCACAAAAAAGGACACAAATGAGTGAGTGAGAAGAAGTCAGTTTTAATTGAGCAACCATCGACGTACATTATAGAAACGAAGAGTATATATGGGAGAACTCCCATTATATACTCTTGATAATTATGTGTAATTTTTATGTGAAAACAAGAGCCGCAGAGCGTCTGGGCTCATCTGAGGTCTGTTGCTACGGTTATAAACGTAACATTTCAGTCGTGCATAGTGACACCCTTGTTAGGTACAGATATGCAGATACGCAGTTGTGCATCTTTTTCAGCAAACATTTTTTTTATTGCAGAGAGAAGAGAGAGAGAGAGAGAGAGAGCGCGGGGGAGGAGAAATGGACGGAGGAGAGAGAGAGAGAAGAGTCAGTCGACTAAATTGTTTATAAAAAATAACACCCACGCGGCGACGCTCTGTATCAGTTAGTCCATCGATTGAGTATTCAGGATTTCGCCGGCGGCGGCGTCAAACTTTCGCACGAGATTGGTGGGCATAGTAAGAGACGCACGTATTACGTACAGATTTCATCAATGTCGGCGAGGCATACATATTTCGCTGACAGTACCATCGGGCTCTGCAGCGCCACAGCGCTTGTCCACCTATCCGACAGTTGCCCCCTACTTTTATTTTTTGTCCCGATGTGGTGATGTGAGCCATGCAAGGACTTTAGTACACTGGCTTGTTTTTGGGTATGTGTGTTGTGCGATAACTTTAGTGGTAGGTTTGCGATTCCAATTCGTGCAATTACTTTTCTCAGATTGATAAACTTGAAGTTAGAGTAATCTTTCTGCACTTGTGAGCCTCATATGACATTGATATCCTGCCGGGACATTTTCTACTCTGTTACGATAGATGGCGTTGATACTGCATCGTATTAGTTAGATGGTAGCCGGTGCCCCGGTCGGCTTAGTTACTCGACTGGGGCGAGGTAATCGAGGTAGGGAGCGAGTACCAGTTACGTTTGCTATGCTGTGATACTATCAGCCATTGCTTCAGCACCCACTGCGAGTAAGTACTTATTTATAGTTGGCCTTAATCAAAAAAGACGTTTGCAGTAAGTGCTATAATGAATTTGTAATTGCAAGTACAGAATTAATATAGAGATGTAAGTTAGATTGATTTAAGGTGCGTAATTTGTTCAAGTAAGTTTTGCAATGGATTTCACTGTAAATTTAAGTCTTTTATCACACAATCAATCAAACACGTTCAGTCTTTGTTAATCAGTCACAAAACAATGTTTACCCTCCTCTTGAGGGTGCAAAAGGTTATCAGAACTTACTTCTTTGCATGTCATGAAAGCAATATTCATGGTCTTTAACTTAAAAGCTAAAAATGGGTAGGTTACACTGAAAAAGAGTTTTTAATCGCTCGTGTCGACATGTCCTAGAAATGTCTAAAATTGCTGTGCCCTTGCTTTGACTTTGACTTCAGAATTTCGGCACAGTGAATGATTTTCCTACATGATGCTATACACGCTATACGGCTAGGGGGTCGAGCCGTTTAGATTTGGTGACCGCAGATTCTGCATTCTCGGGTATACGTTAAGTTAGAGGACTGGGGATGTTCCCGTTTCTTTTACTCTTTGACTTTAACCCCGCAGCTGTGGACATTCAACTGCGCGTTTTCGGATTAGGCTCGTCCACGTCCAACTGTTTGCTAGTATCGAGCGTTGTAGATTTGTGCCAACTGTGACGGAAAGCCGGGGCGGACGAGCTACGTCATGCGATTATACAAGCTGATCTGAGCTATGTCGATGAGCTATATATATATTTATATATAATTATAACTGTTTTATAACACAATTGAATACATTTGGTGACGCCAGGTAGATGGCGTCTCTACCGCTTTGATGTTTCTTTAGCTAAATTAATATATTAATATTCATAATTAGGTGTTAATCATATGTGTATAGCAGAATTTTGATTAAAGATTTGTTATGATCTTTTCTGTAACGGACAGGGCGGGGTTGTTGGGGTACGAGTGTGACAACGACTGTTTGTGTCTCTGCGTTTTTTGTAACGTGCTATATCATGCAACGCTAGCTAATCTTGATAATTTTTTCTGTTAATATAAGAACCGCGTGCCTTATTGTTCAAATACAAATGGAGCAAATACGTTGAACTAAAGGGTGGGGGGACTAATGGGCAATTTAGTTTTGCGCAAAATTGCGATGGAAATCGAAAGTAGTTCAACTGGTGTGCTCAAAATAGGAGTTTATATAGGTGGAGCGGGATAGCAGGTAACAACTATGACCAATTGTAACATGTGGTATTCAATGGTTCATGAACGTTATCGATTGACCGTAGCCAATATGTTGGACGGCCCGGGAGTTACGCAGGCGACGACATCGGCAATTAGCTCAGCTGGACGATAGTCAGAGCGACGACTAAATTGGTAATAACAGATACTGTATTTATGCAAGTTTTTAATGTTTCTCTAACTCTATTTCGGTATTTATTGCGCCTAATTACCGTAAATGCGGTCAAATGCCTCATCGTGTAACACACAGGTGACACGCATTGCCGCCTGTGCAAACACATGTAGCGAGGCAGGTAGGAAGCCGTGATCGCAAAAATCGCTCACGTGCTTCATTTCACACGACTTACGAACGAAACAACCCAAACATGCCTCCATCTTGGTACTATATCATGTTAGCTAAATGTTTCACTTGTTCGGTTATTAAGCTCTGTCTTTTGTCTTACCTACTCTGCACGAGATCTGTGAAAATCGGCAGGATCGTTCTCTCCGGTGAAATGTAGAGGAGTAATTCATCGAAAATCCCTAACGGCAGCTATTTCGATCGATCATGTAGTCGTGTGATGGACGTTCATGCCTGGCATTATGCTCTGGCTTGAGGGGCGTCGAACGGAGGCTAGGAGGCATGGGCAGCAGCTATCGCGGCATTGCAATGCGCCTTACTCGTGTATAACCGACTCTCGTTCTTTACATTTTTCGCGAAGAGAACATTTCCTGCGAAGAGATTTCACGAGTCTCTTGCGGGTGATACTCAATAAGGAAGTGTTCCAAGTTCCCAACTTGTTAATGTTATTAATGGGTATTACATATATTATAATATAATATATATATATCAGTCTGCGAAATTAACCACTGGCCCGGTATCCGAGGCCAGTAAATTTTTTCGTGGGGCCAATGAAACTGGTAAATGAACAAGCCCGATGGGCCAGTGAAAAAAAGGAGTAAATGGTTTATTAATGATATTTCAGCTTCTTTATGTGATGATCAGTCTGAGAATTTTCCGAAATTCCCGATATTTTGTATGAATATTTACCGATATTTACCAATAGGGCATCATATTCCCGATCTTAAGTAGTAGTACACCAGCCAAACATGGAAAAGTCCTCTAGAAAAAATTTCTAGTGAATTTTTTGTTAATAGCAGGCAACCATGCTAGCTAGATCAATCAGTCATAGGGTGGAAAAGAAAATGTGGGTGGATGCCACCTTCGAGTTTGACCTTAAAGGTCATTTTCAAAGTCAAAGGTCAAATATAGCCAAAATTTGTGTTTTTTTACAGTGTGCATTAATTGACATCAACTTTGTCTGCTCTATCCATAGAAACTATTTCTGTTATCAAAAACATGTATTTAGCCTGTTTAATTAACAAGTGAATTTTAATTTTTACACATGTGTATGGCATTCTGAAACACAAAAACGTGATTTTCTCGAAATGTGTTTATTTTGCATGTTAAGGTAATTTGCACATCGAATCTTTTGGTTTAAACTATCACGCACGTTCAATATACTAATTTGTCACTGTAAAATCCTAAATAAACTTTTTTTGCAATGGCCACTTGTTTTATCTGTAATTAAACACTGTATAGCCCCCTCTTGTGGCAGTCATATTTGTTCTAGTACACCAGCCAACATATTATTTTATGGAGCATTGCTTGTTTATAGCAGGCAACCATGCTAGATCAATCAGTCATAGGGTGGGGAAGAAAATGTGGGTGGATGCCACCCTCTATTTTGACCTTAAAGGTCAATTTCAAGGTCAAAGGTAAAATAA